CAGGACTGAAGTATAGACACACTACAGCCTGGATGACCCCCCAAAACATTACAGGAACTGAGAGAAGGCAGTCCGAAAGGCCACATGTCATCTCACTTCCATGAAACGTCCAGAATAGGAAACTCGGCCGAGCTGGGCGGTAGATGAGCCGTCGCCCGGGGCTGAGGATGACTGGCGGCTGACTCGTCAAGGGCGTGTGGGGTTTTGTCTTCAAGTGATGAAAATGTTCTAAAAACGATTATGGTGATGGCTCCACAAGGTGATGAATATACTAAAAAGCATTGAAGTGAGTGAATTTTATGCTATCTAAATTGTATTTCAAATTAAAAAAAAACAAAAACAAACACAAAACCTGCCCACAAAACCCAGAGTCCCAGAAAGCGAGGACAACTGTGCGCACGCCGGCACAGAAGGTTGAGGCGCTGAGTCTGCGGACATGGGAACTGAGGGGCGGAGAGGCTAACTTGTGACAGGTCCGGGATGTACACGCGTTCAAGGTCAGGCTGAGAGAAGGTGGCCCCCCGTGGGTCGCTAGCAGGTACAGCCACCCACGGCTGAGTCGGCACCCCTGCCAGAGTCACCCGGGCTGAAGCTGGCCGGGCGGAGATGTCCGGCTCGGACGTTCGGGTGGCCAGGAGTGCCACTGGCTGTGTGCTGTGCCACACGGACGGCGGGCGGAGAGCTGTCTGAGGGCAGATGACCACAGCCCACTGTGGACACAGAACATCTGAGGACCTAAAAGGGCTTCCAGGCACAGCTTCCCCTTTTATTCTTGTAAGATCTGTGCCCCTTGACAACATCACCCCCATTTCCCCCGCCCCCGCCCCCGCCACCGCCGTCCTAGTCTCAGTCTCTACGAAACGGGCTTTTCCGTCTTAGATTCCACACGTGAGTGATCCAGTTTTTAGGTTCCTCCATCTGGCTTTTTTCACTCGGCAGAATGCCCTGCGGGCTCATCCATGTTGTTGCAAACGGCAGGACTTCCTTCCTTTATTATGGCTGAGTGACACCCGATTGTGTGTGCACACGCCACGTTTTCCTCTTCCGGTCACGCGTGGAGAGACGCTTGGGTTGCTTCCACATCTGCGCTGTTGTGAATAAAGCAGCAGGGCACGTGGGAATGCAGACCTCTCTTCAAAGCACTGATCTCTGTTCCTGCGTATAGGTGACCCGGGGTGGCCTTGCCGGGTCGTGTGAGAGTTCAGTGTTTAAGTTTTAAGGAGCTACAGTACTGTCTTCCATAATGACCGAACCATCTGAAATTCCCGGCAACAGTGTATCAGGGTTTCCTTTTCTCCACATTCTCCCCAACGTTTGTCGTCATCTGTCCCCTCGGTAATGACCATCCTCCAACCTTCACGAACCAACCTTCATCCGCAGGTGTGAGGTGATCTCTCCTTGGGGTTGGGTTTGCATCTCCCTGAGGACGACTGACGTTGAGCACGTTTCCGGGTACCCGTTGGCCATTGTGTATCTTCCTTGGGAAAAGGTCTCTTCGGGTCCTTCGCCCATTTTTTAATCGGATTGATTTTATGGCTGTTGAGTCGGATGAGTGAGTGCTTTATATACTTTGGATTTAACTCCTTGTCAGATAGATGGCTTGTGAATATCTTCTCCCGTTCTGTAAGTTGCTTTTCCAGTTTATCAATTGTTTCCTTTGCTGTGCAGAAGGAATCTAGTCCCGCTTGTTTGTTTTAGCTTTTGTTGAATGTGCTCCGGTGTCTTATCCAAGAAATCATTGCCAAGACCATTGTCAAGGATCTTTTTCCATGTTTTCTTCTAGAAGTTTTATTGTTCCAGATTTTATTTAAATCTTTGAATCATTTCTACTTGACTTTTTTAAATTAAATTTAAATTAGTTAACGTACAGTATAGAATTGGATTCAAGAATATAATTTAGTGATTTGTCACTGACATGTAAAACCCCGTGCTCGTCCCAGCAAGTGCCCTCCTTAATGTCCGTCACCCATTTAGCCCATACCCCCACCCATCTCCCCTCCAGCAACCCTCAGTTTGTTCTCTGTATTTAAGAGTCTCTTATGGTCTGCCTCCCTGTTTTTTTACCTTATTTTTCCTTCCCCGATGTGCATCCATTGTGTTTCTTAAATTCCCATGAGTGAAATCATATATTTGTCTTTCTCTGACTTATTTTGCTTAACATAATACACTCTAGCTCCATCCACGTTGTTGCAAATGGCAAGATTTCATTTTTTGATCGCTGAGTAATATTCCATCATACATACATACACACACACACACACACACACACACACACACACACACCCCATGTCTTCTTTATCCATTCATCAGTCGATGGACATTTGGGCTCTTCCCATAATTTGGCTATTGTCGATAGCGCAGCTATAAATATTGGGGTGCATCTCCTTTGAATCAGCATTTTTGTAACCTCTGGATAAATATCTAGTAGTGCAATTTCTGGGTCATAGGGTAGTTCTACTTTTAGTTTTTTGAGGAACCTCCATACTGTTTTCCAGAGTGGCTGCCCCAGCTTGCATTCCCGCCAGCAGTGCAGAAGAGATCCTCTTTCTTCGCACCCTCGCCAACATCTGCTGTTGCCTGAGTTGTTGGTTTTAGCCATTCTGACAGGTGTGAGGTGGTATCTCAGTGTGGTTTTGATTTGTATTTCCCTGATGATGAGCGATATTGAGCATTTTCTCCTGTGTCTGTTAGCCATCTGGATGTCTTCTTTAGGAAAATGTATATTCATGTCTTCTGCCCATTTCCTCACTGGATTATTTGTTTTTTGGGTGTTGAGTTTGATAAGTTCTTTACAGATTTTAGATACTAACCCTTTATCTGATTTGTCGTTTGCCAATATCTTCTCCCATTCCGTCAGTTACCTTTTAGTTTTGTTGATTGTTTCCTTCGTTGTGCAGAAGCTTTTTATCTTGATGAGGTCCCAATAGTTCATTTTTGCTTTTATTTCCCTTGCCTGCAGAGGAATGCGTAGTAAGAAGCTGCCGTGGCCAAGGTCAAAAAGGTTGTTGCCTGTCTTCTCCTCTAGGATTTTGATGGTTTCCTGCCTCACGTTTAGGTCTTTCATCCATTTTGAGTGTCTTTTTGTGTATGGTGTGAGAAAGTGGTCCGGGCTCATTCTTCTTCTTGTCACTGTCCAGTTTTCCCAGCACCACTTGCTGAGGAGACTGTCTTTTTTTCCATCGGATATTCTTTCCTGCTTTGTCAAGTATTAGTTGGCCACACGTTTGTAGGTCCATTTCTACTTAACTTTTGTGAGTGGTGTAAGATAGGGATCCAATTTCGTTATTTTGCATGTGGAGACCCAGTTTTCCCAGCTTCGTTGGTTGAGGAGACCGTTCTTCGCGGCCCCCCCCCCCCCCCCCGCCCGGGGTGTTGGGGGGTCAATAATCAAAAGAGAGTAGAAAAAAAAAAAAAAAAATTAGTTGACCACATACGTCTGGGTTTGTGCCCGGGCTCTGTTCTGTTCCACTGGTCTATGTGCCTGTTTTTATACCAGAACCGTATTGGTTTTACTACTACAACTTTGTAAGAGACCTTCAAATCCGGGAGTAGGATGCCTCCAGCTTTGATCTCCTTTTCCAGAATTGCTCTGGCTATTCGGGGTCTTTTGTATTTCCATACAAATTTGAGAATATTTTTTCTGTTTCTGTGAAAAATGCCATGGGGATTTTGATTAGGACCGTATTGTATTATAGATTTTTCTGGAGAAAGAATTTTTCACAATATCCTTCTAATCCAAGAAGACAGGAAGTCTTTCCAGTTACTTCTGTCTTCCTCACGGTCTTCCACCAACTTTGTATATTTTTTAGTGTGCAGGTCTTTTATCTCCTTGTTGAAATTTAGTCCTAAGTATTTTGTTATCTTTGATGCTATCGTAGATAGGACTGCTTTCGTGATTTCTCTTTCAGACAGTTTGTTGGTAATGGGTAGTAATGCAACTAATTTCTCTGTTGATTTTATATCCTGCGATTTTACTGAATTCATTTATTAGTTCTAACAGTTTTTTGGAATCTTTAGGGCTTTCCGTGTATAAGATGATATCACCTACAAACGGAGGCAGTTTCACTTCTCCCTTCCCAATTTTTATGCTTTTCATTCTTTTTCTTGCCTAATTGCTATGGCTAGGGCTCTCTGTACTATGTTGAATAGAGATGATGAGAGTTCTTGTTCTTGATCTTGGAGAAGGTTTTAACCTTTCACTACTCAGTATGATGTTAGCTATGGCTTGTCATATGTGGCCCTTATGCTCAGCAAGATTCCTTCTATACTAATTTGTTGGGAGTTTTTATCAGGAGAGGATGTTGAATTTTGTCAAATGCTTTTTTCCCCATTTACTGAAATGATCATGTGATTTATCCCTCATTCAGTTTATGTGGTGCGTCACATTTATCGATTTGCCCGTGTTGAACCATCCTTGCATCCTGGGGTGAATCCCACTTGATCATGGTTTATGATCCTTTTAATGTGTTCCTGGAATCCATTTGCTAGTATTTTGTTGAGGATCAAATAAGTAGGATTGAGTGCTGGGTGGTTGTGTTTTTAGGATACAAGCGCGTTAATAAACAGGGTGGAAAATACAAAGCTGACGCTACAGAAGATAGAATTCTCCAGAAAGGCTGTGCAGAGCATGGGGCAGGGGTCAGCTGGACTCTGCACTGGAAGGAGAAGAGGCAGCTCATCAGTGGTGGGTGGGTGGGTTATAGGATTTGGTGTGGGGGGCTGTGAGTTGGAATTGCTCACATTTAATGGTATGTCGAGTCAGCCGCCCGGAGAAGGGGGGAGGGGCAGACCAAAGGACTTAGGAAGAGTGAGAAAGGCGTTCAGCCAGGTGGAAACATCAGGCATCCTGTCTGAAGCACGGTCACCATGACAGTCGGTCTTTGGGTTCCCCATTATGTGCTCTCCACTGGAAAGTTTGCAGAGATGTTCCCAATGACCCCAAAGACAAATCCTAAAAAAAAAAATGTAAAAGTGACGTGCTTGTCTCTAAATCCCAACAGAAACATGCCTACAAGTCCTGTAAGCCTCTGAGTTCCTGGGTTAACGATCTCATCCAGCGAGTGAATTTCTTCAACACCTGGGCCAAAATGGCTTACACTGCAGTACATCATCGGTACGGATGAAAGCGGCTTTATTCTCTTCCTTAATTTTGCGAAGAACTTAACGGTTTACCATGTAGTTTCATATGGTTGGACTTTTGGGTTCTCAGAGCAACATGTGAATCAAGCGGGGTTGGGGGGGGGGGGGTACTGTTGTCTTCAGTCTAGGATGGAGACCTGGAGACACAGGATACCCTGGGTCCCGTCCATGGTCCCTCCGCTCAAGGACACACAGGACCAGACCTGGTACATTTCCCTTCCTGTTATTCTACACTCTGTCCTGTGACACCAGCAGAGGGAAGTGCAAAAGGAAGTAAGGGTTAGTTACGCGTAATTTTTAAACGAGTTTAATACATAGATCAAAATCATTTGAAGGGCACGAGAGCAACTATCGCTCAAGGGGTGCCTGTGTCCCACGTCCTCATGTGACTCTGATGGTAACCCTGCGAGATGCAGTCAGCCTGGTCATTCGTCAGCCTTGTCTTAGATAGGAGTGAGGCACAAGGATGTGACGTAGCTTGCCCAGCGTTTCACAACTAGGGTAGAAGCCTTGAGATTCGAAGCCAGAAAATGTGGTTCCAAAGTCTGTGCCAAACCGCCTTTTGTGCCACTTACCTCTAAGCAAATGCTAGGACCTATCCTCTCAGAGTCACCAGCTCCGGAACAATCCATAGACTCCTCAGCGCCCGGTCAGGATGCCCAGCACATCCCTCGTTGCCTAAATCCACTGCCTTCCAGCGAGTTAGGGCCTCGCCCTTCAAAGCCACAGCTGGTCTCCCCTGAAGGACGAGACGAGGGTCCCGAGTGGGGTTAAGCCTCATATGAGAAGGGGACGAGGGGCCGTGGAGGGCCTGGCCGCGTGGATGGGCGATGCCGGTGCCCTTGACCCCTCGGTCTACGGTCTGCCTCCTACAGGTACATGAGATTTGTCGCCACCGGGAAGCATTCCATTCCATCGTCCACCCAAAACCCCAGATCCTCTGACAATAAAACCAGTGATTTCTGTGAAGGATTTCCTGCAAGATACTGGCTCCCAGCTTTCTTCTTTCCGCAAGGTGAGTGTGAGAACAGGGCGAGGGCCCCCTCCCAGCCCCCCACGTTCGCGCTCCCTGCCAGCCTCCCTCCTCCTCCCCTTCAGCGTGAAAGACCCAAAGCCACAGCCCTGCATCCCCAGGCACTACGCCCCGGGGGTGGGGAGCCTCTCCTCCCTCCCTCCGCTTCCCTTCCCTTCCTCACCCCCCCTCCCCCCTCCCCGGTAGGACCACCCTTGCCTGACTGCACCTGCCCCTGGCAGGAGCGTCACCACCTCCACCGACTCTGATGTCAAAGGCCGACGTGGCCTCCCTCAAAGGCCACCACACTTTATCGGGGCCGCAGGAGGTGGGTGCCCCCCAAGGACAGAATCTGTGCCTCAGCCATTTCTGTTCATTCATTCAACAAAAGCCAACGCCTGGAACCGTGCCGGGTCTCGGGAGCCACTGCTCAGGTCACACGGGAGGGGAAGACGTCCCCACGGAGGGCGTTACGATGCATGGTTGGGTGATGGGGCGTACAAGACACCACGGAGCCCCACGCGGGCAGCCCCCCATCTTTCTACTCCAGGCCGCGCAGCCCCCAGCGCCTTAAACTCCCGATACGTAATCCCAGAACCATTACACGAGTTTCTGAACGAATGTGTGAATGAGTGAACCAGTGAGGGCTTTGGGAGCATAAAGCAGGGGGACCTGAGCGGGGACCGGGAAAGGCTGCTGAGACAGAGAGCCGGCTGCCGGAAGTGGCAGGTGCCGAGCGCACAGGGGGACGGCGGTCAATCCCAGGACCCGTGCTCACCGGGGGCCGGGCGCTGTCGCGAGCTCTCTGTGGAGAGCAGTCCTCACGACAGTCCCGTGGTGGTGTTCACACGGCCCTCCCTGTTCTCAGGAAAACCCTGGCACAGAGAAGGTAAGTAATTTTCCCAAAGTCACACAACTGAGCCGGGATCGGAACTCGGCTCGTGTGACGCAGAAACCCACGTGTTGAAACACAGCACTGACTGGGAATCGCGTTTCTGTTCGGGTCAAAGGCCAGCTACGAGGGGGGAGAAGCCCACGTGAAACGTTCGGTGTGGGCAGGGGCAGAGTGAAAGCCCACGAAGGGCGAGCGGTGTGGGATGAAGCTGAAAAGGTGGGCAGGGCTGGCTCCTGGGGGGGGCTCCTGGGGGGGGGGGGGTCTGGGCCCCCGCCCCCTCCCAGGCGGGGGGGGGGGGGCCCTGACCTGACTCCGCAACACGGGGGAGGGGCCGGAGCGGAGCCCGGGTCCCAGGCACTTGGGCGTCTGCTTTTCCCCAGGCGAGAATTGGCGGTGGCCTGGAAGGACGACAGAGGGCGGAAGAGAATACTCGTAGGACGCTGAGGGAGCAGAGAGGGAGGCTCCCCGGTCTTGGGCTCAGAGAGCTGGGTGGCGGCTGACGACCGTTACTGACACAGGGACACGGGGACACAGGGAGAGGAGCAACGTGATGGGCAGAGAGGTGGCCGTCACCTGTCAAGTCTGAGACGTTCGGAGGAGACCGCACGGTGGGCGGTGGGCAGGTGGCTCTAGGGGGCTGGAGCTCAGGAGACACGGGGGCTCGACAGCGTGGCAGTGTCACTGAGCGCCTGGGGGACAGGGCCAGGGCGTGCCGGCTGCCGCCAGAAGCACAAAGAGGTCGGTGGCCCCAGTCTTGTCCCCTGGAGGCCGCGGACCCCCGAGAGGCGCGCAGAGGAGGGCCGGGGCAGAGACGGCTTCTCGGGCCTTGGGAAGTTCTGAGGAAATCTGGAGAAAGAGCGTCCCAGGAGGAGGGCAGGAGCGAAGTCACCAGCCGGGTGCCCGCTCAGACATTTCCCGCAGCGGCACGGCACGGGAAACACGCCAGTGTGGCGGGGGCCTCAGTGCCCAGGTGACTCGGTGAGCGCTGGTATAGAGACCCCGGCAGGGGCATTACACGATTCAGAAGCAGAGTGAAGCTCCTAACCTGGCAGTTCACGCAGGATGGATTAAGCAAGAGGGGGAACTGGCTGGCAGAACAGTTGGGAGCTGTGTTAGGAATCCTGGTGTTAAGACACAGGACGCAATCCAAACCTGCTTGAGCAGAACAGGGCAAGTCATAGGCTCGTGAGAGTGGGAAGGCAGGCCAGAGGTCTGGCTTCAGGAACGGCTGGATCCAGGTGATCGGCTGTCCTCTGCCTCCTCATATCTGGGCTGTTTCCACTCTGTCTTGGTCTCCTTTTTCTCAGCTGCACGTAGCCTTTGTCCACACAGCCAAGGGGACACCCAACAGCTTGGCGACCCCAGGGGAAAACGTGCCTTCCTCTTCCCACTCGTCTGTGTGCCGTTTCTCGACCAAGACTCTGACGTGCTCGGGTCTCCTCCTTGCTCCCGGGAGCCGGCTTGTGGCCAGGAGGGAACGCAGAGCCCTTGGTGCCCCTGACTCGCAGGGAACTCGTCGCTCTGTGCTTTTCCCCAAAGCCTTTCTCGTGGCCGTGCTTCACGACTACGGACGGTCCCAGGGAATCTCTCTCGGCGCCCTCACGTTTGCCCACCGTGTGATCTCGGACACCGCTGACAGCAGAGACGAGGGGTTCTCCGCGGCCATCCACGGGAACCTCAACACGGTCAGGACGGCCTCTGAGGTACCAGAACGCTGAGGGCACTGGGGAGAGCAGTCGTGCTGTCGGTCTTCCCCTCGCCAGCCTCCACTCAGCCTCCCCCGTGCCGCGCACCACACAAGTCCCCAAGCTACGCGCGGACCCTCCGTTTTCCCTTTTCCTTCAAGCAGCTTTTAGTTTTTCCTACTTTTGTTCTATGGCAGAATATACATAAGGTAACGCTGGACTGGCCATTTTAACTATTTCCTTTTTTAAAGTTTATTTACTTACAGAGAGAGAGAGAGAGAGTGTGTGTGCAAGTGGGGCGGGGCAGAACCCCGGGAGGGGCTCGAGCTCACGAACTGTGAGACGGTGACCCGAGCCGAAGTCCAGAGCTGGACGCTCACCCGACTGAGCCCCCCCCAGGCACCCTCATGCCCACCGTTTCTGAGTGCACAGCCGGGTGGCCCTGAGCACGTCCACGCTGCGGGGCGGCCCTCACGCCCTCCACCTCCGGAACCGAGGCGCTGTCCCCGTGGACGTCCACGTCCCGCCCGCCTGTCCTGATCGCATCTATTTTTTGTCCCTATAAATCTGGCGACAGGAGCCTCCTGTAGCGTCTGTCCCTGCGACTGGCCCCTTTCACTCGGCACAGTGTCTCCAGGACTCATCTGTGTGGTGGCCGGTGTCGGGACACAGGAGCGCCCCTCCACGGTTTCCGTGGCTTCAGTGGCCCGTGGTCCCCGGTCGGGATCATACAATCCCCCTCCTGACTGTCAGAAGGTCAACAAGAAGGAGGGACGCGGCCGACAAGACCTCTTGGGAGGGAGGGAGACCACATTCACGTGGCTTTTATTACGGCGTGTTGCGAGAACTGCTCTATTTTGTTCTTAGTTATTGCCGTCACCCTCTCCCCGTGCCCCGTTTATACACGAGGCCACACCGTGGGAGGGTAGGGAGACCCCGGTCCACACAGGGCTCGGTGCAAGCTGCAGCTTCGGGCGTCCGGGGGGCGGGTCTCGGAGGGCAGCTCTCCGTCTCCCCCAGGACCCTCCCCCAGACGGAGCTTCGGTTGAAGGAAGCGCCCTGCCCGGGGACCCACCCACACCGCCTCTCTTTCATCTCAGGGCACAGACCGCACTCACGTCGGAGTTCACGTTTTCGGTCTATTCGTCGAGGGCGCAAGGTGGAATCGGGAACAAAACATACTAGAGGACTCGCTGCCTCGTGAGCTCCGTTATGGTTTCCCTGAGATCCACTTCCTGCCAACAAAGGTAACTGCATGTGTTCAGCGTGCAGTCGGCCTTGTGGGCCTTCCCGCGGGGGCCCGAGCCGTTCCTTCCTGTCCCGTTCCCTGTGGTTTCACGAGGGACATTTGCTGATACGCTTTAGACAACATTAAAAAAAATTTTTTTTTAACGTTTACTGTTGAGAGAGAGTGCGAGCGGGGAAGGGGCAGAGAGGGGGGGGGACACAGACTCCGGGCTGTGAGCTGTCACCACAGAGCTGGACGCAGGGCTCGAACCCACGAACCGGAGATCATGACCTGAGCCAAAGTTGGATGCTCATTGGACTGAGTCACCCAGGCGCCCCGGTATGTATTTTTAATATGTACTTTTCAGTACTCACTGAATCACACATATAAAGTTAATAAACACAGTACTTATAAATCCTGCCTCAAGAAAGTTCATTTTTTTAAACATCGTTGTTTCAACGTTTATATTTTTTTGAGAGGGAAAGAGGGAGGGAGGGAGAGCGAGCACACGCAGGGGAGGGGCAGAGAGAGAGGGAGACACAGAATCCGAAGCGGGCTCCAGGCTCTGAGCTGCCAGTGAAGCCCAGTACGGGGCTCGAACTCACAAACTGTGAGATCGTGACCTGAGCCGAAGTTGGACACTTAACCGCTGAGCCACCCAGATGCCCCTAGATGGCAAACATGTAAAATAGCCTGAGTGGCTCAGTCGGCTGAGCGTCTGACTTTGGCTCAGGCCACGATCTCACGGTTTGTGGGTTCGAGCCCCCGCATCGGGCTCTGTGCTGACAGCTCGGAGCCTGGAGCCTGCTTCGGATTCTGTGTCTCCCTCTCTCTCTGCCCCTCCTCCACTCACATTCTGACGTCTCTCTCGAAACTAAACATTAAAAATTCTTTAAACATAAAAATAAATACAACAGCCTAGAACATTGCTAAAACCCGGAATAGATGCTCTACCAGCTGCTTCCCCAGACTGTTCCGGAGGCCACGATGGTCACACAGGTCCTCTGGCCACAGAACCCCTAACCAGCCGTGTGTTCAGCGAGCGGCCGTCCCCCAAATCTGGCGCGTGGAAAGTGAGCTCCTGCTTTGCCATCTAACTGTTGGATCTGTTTTTCAGCTTTCCACTGAGCGAGCAGGTGCTTCTGACCAGACAGATACGCAGCGCTACACGTTTGAGTGCCCGGTGTATCAGACGCCTGAGAGGTCAAGAACTGTGACAACCACTGGCTTGCCTGCAGACTTCCTGACCTCCGTGCACTTACCCACGAAGAGACCCCCCAGTCACTGGGTCACAACGCGGGTTGCCTTGCTGTGTGAGAAAAAGGAGAAATAAACGTGTGCACCACCCCACCTACTTTTTGTCCCTGAGCGGATTTGCGACTCGGCACCCACCACAAAAACACCGCGTGTTCAGCCAGACCGGACAGGTGCGGTCTTCTTCCCTCTGTACCTGCAGCGGGGTCTTCCGGCTGCCCCGTCCCAGGTGAGTGAGTGCCCGGGGGCGTCCCAGGTACAGCAGGTGGGACTTGGCCGGGCGCCGTGGTTTCCACTCGGAAGACGGCAGGGCGTGTCGTCTGCGGTCACGTACGACGCAACACACGCGAGGGGGTCCTCGGGAGCACTTTTCCCCGGCCCCACGCAGGCTGCTTCCCTTGATGAGACGTGGTCTTGTGGCTCCACCAGACCTCCTCCCACTGAGAAGGTACCTGGGCTCACCTCACCGACACAGGCCTCCCACGTACTAGGCGCTTCCGTGGCCCCGACAAACTCCCGTGAGAGTGTGACGGGGTCGGAATGGCGCGGCCGTTTCTCTCTTCGCAAACAACCAGCACTAAACGCACGGCCACGAGCCGGGAGCTGGGGCCCCCAACTAACCCCTCCCCTCTCCAACCTTCTGAGAGCCACGATGCAGGCAGGGCGGGCGGTGGTCACCTACGGGCTCCCGTGTCGGCCCCAATGATCCCAGAGTCACAGGCACAAGGAAGAGGCTCTGAGGCGCAAAGGCCAACATCTTTTTTATTTTCAACTTTATTTCCAACTCCAAACTTCATTATAAAACTTGTCAAACAAACGTGTCAAAAACAACTAAAAACAAATCATAGCTGATATCCAGAAACTGCAGCACTATGTTGGTAAAGGCTCTTTTCACATTACCAGAGAAAGAACTAGACCTCCTCCTTCCTCCCCCAAAGCTTCGTTGGTGACTCGAGGACACGATGGGACACTCTTTCCGACGCAGGAGAAAAGCAGAAGCAAAGCTGCTTGCTTCCATCAGCGTGGAAGACACGAAGACCACGGGGTGCGGGCGAGGGTGCCAGAGGCCGCCAGCGTCACCATCACGTTCACGGAGCAAAGTCACACACGGCGCCCACGGCAACGCAGGACAACACCGCGGACCCGTGTCTCGTCTACAAGATGCATCGACGCCCCAGACGCTCCGTTCGATTCCCCCACAGTTAAGATCCCGAGAACAATTTAAATACAATCTTTTAGTGAATCTGCTACTGGTCCGTTACAGGACAATTAATTAGGAGACTACATCGACTAGAACTCCACAGCTACGGCGGCCCCGTGCACCTCCGTTAAACAAAAATAAAACTAAAACGGACCAATGACTAAACAAAATAGACTCTTCCCTTCAATTATCTGTAGATCGACAGGCTTCTAAAGAGGAGCGCCGCCCCCCCGGTCACGGGGAAGAGCGTTGGTGAAGACAAGGGACGTACGAGCTACAGTATAAACAGCGTGGCCTCACCCGTAGCAAAATCACGGTTTTATCTTAAAAAAGTCAAAAACGTACAAAAATATTAGCCCGAAATGGCAAGTTTTCAAAAACCAATCTGTGTAAAAATGTTTAAATAGTGCTGTGACTCCAAAAATATATATTCTATTTTTTTTCCTATCTGCAACAGTTTATAAAGGCAAAACGGACACCTGCGCGTGAGGTAGCAAAGCCAAATCCGCCAGCTTTGGGTTAAGGAAAACACCCCTCCTGGGTCTTACCAGCCTCTTTTAGACAACGTCAAGTGAATTCTAATGGTTTCACAATTTTTAATCGACAGGTATGACTTTATAAAATTTAATTTAAAATACTGCAAACGTTTTCGTTAAAAAGATCCTTAGTCCTAACGCTTATTTCACATTCAAATACTGTACAGAAAGACCTGCAGTCCCCATATATTACATAAAATCTGTGTACTTACACTTTCCGGCGCAGTTCCAGAAGCGGAGGGTGAGCGAACTGCTGAGGGTCTCCCTTCATCTGCCCCTGCGAACGGCCCCGTCCCCGCTCACAGAGAGCACCGGGTCCCCGCTCACGGCAGCGGACATGGGACCCGAGACCTCTTTCAAACCCCGTCGCCCACGGATGATTTACTTCAAAAGCAAGCGGACGCGAGTTCTCTTCACGAGACGTGGACGAGGCTCCACGGGGCGGCTGGTGTCACTTAGGAAACACGAGGACAGAACGAAACAGTCACAGCTGGAAAGTCCTGGAGACCCACAGACGTCACCGGGATTGTCTCAGTGCATCTTCAAGGACGGCCCGTCTCCCGGCACAAAGCAAATCCCAACGATCCCCCTTGTCCTCCGTCCGGCGTCAGGACCGAGTGGCCGCAGGCGTGGCTGCGTTAAAAGACCACCGGGCCCCCCCGGTCCGGACTCAGAAAGAAAAGTAAGACCCTGTCGGTGCGACAGATGAAGATTCGCTCCAGAGCCTTCTCTTGGTCTCCCGGGGAAGCCGCGGGGCAGGCGCGTGGGCGGCTAGTACACGCGGGGCAGGATACGGTAGGGCACCCGCCGGCAGTACTGCTCCCACGCCAGGCCGTACCGCCTGCGGCAGTGGCGCTCGTCGCGGGCCTCCCGGTGCACCAGCAGCACGGTGAAGTAGGCGACGTAGAAGTACGGCAGAGCGTGACCGAAACCTGGGTCATGGCACAAGCGTCAGTGACGTTTCCGATCCCTACGCGACACTCCCCCCAGCCCCCCCCCACAAGGTGAACCGCGAGATTCCCCAGCCCACCCCCCCCACCTCGACTCTGCCCGCCGCGCTCACCACAGGGGAGGGACCACGCCAGGGCCATGAGGAGGTCACCCAAGTAATTGGGGTGGCGAACAAAGCCCCACCATCCAGAAACCAGAAGGTCTTTTCCCGTCGAAGTGTGAATGGTTTTCAAATCTAGGTGAAAGTAAAAAGACATCTCTAATCACCTCTAGACAGATGGACGTAAAATCTTGATGTAACGTAAACATCATAAACATAAACCCGCACTTACGTGCAAGCTTTGGATCAGCGGGATTTTTCCGGAATGCGTTTTTCTGAGAATTTGCACGTCGGAAGATGACATATCCACAAACTGTAATGTTTCAAAATCTCGTGTTAACAATTTAGATACAATCTAATATTTGAGAGCATCAGTGATTCCACTTAGGAATTCTGTGCTTTGAGGAAACTTCCAAAGTAGAGAATACTCTGCTCTCTTCAGGAACAATTAAAGGGGCGCCCGGGGGGCTCAGTCGATGGAGTGTCTGACTCTTGACCTCGGCTCAGGTCGCGATGTCACGGTTTGCGGGATCGAGCCCCGTGTCAGGCTCTGCGCGGACACCGTGGAGCCTGCTTGGCCTCCTCTCTCTCCCCCTTTCTCTCTGCCCCTCCCCTGCTCGCATGCTCTCTCTCAAAATAAATAAACATTTTTTAAAAACTCAAACCCCTGTCACCTCAGGACATCAAGAGGGGAGTATCCTGAAATGTCACTACTGTACCGCTTTCCTCATCCACCGGGGGACACAAAACCAACCGATATGGTGCCACCCACAGACGAACGCTAATCCGGCCCCGGTTAGAACCACAGCAGGACTGGGGCCCGCTGCGGCTGTCACACCCACGAGCCAGAGCACGGACGCCGCCTGGATCCGAAGCAGCACGAGAAGCTGCACGTACACGCACACGCGGAATCCCCCCGCAGGCCGACGGCTTTCGTCCGGATTTCAGAGCGTCAGATTGAGAGGCCCTGACCAACAACCGCTGGCCATTAGCCCTCGAGTGAGTCTGTCAGTCCCCCATAGCGTGGGAAGGAACGACTCCCCGTCTGTCGCTGACCGCCTCGAGTGATACGCAGGAGCCGAACCAATGTTGAAACTGAACCTTAATTTTAATCCTCGCCTTAAATCTCCTCTTCTCCCCGGGATGCCAATCAGAGCAGCAAAACTCCCGATGTTTGGAGGTCTCGCTAATTTTCCTGCCCCGCCCCCGCTGGAGGCATTTACCAAACACGTCACGGAAGAGCCGCACGTGACACTCCGCCAAGACCACCCGCGGTGCTCCTCGGCTCCGGCCAGGCTGCCCTCCCCCGCTTCCGCATCTCCCCCCCCCCCCCCCGATCCCACTTTACCCGCTACAGTTTACACTTCAGATCGAGCACCCTCCCCCACCGAGGCCACTCAGACCGCTATTCCCGAGACCAGTCCCGACCGCCTTCGACACGGCCGCGGTGGGCGGCGGGCCCCCCACTTGTGCTCGTACGCGTCGCCCCGCGCCTGAGGGCAGGCCGGGCTGGCACAGCAGGACCAGACTTCCTGCTTTTCAAGATGCCCACCAGAAAGAGCAGCCGCTGCAAAGAAAAACCACCCCAGGAACGAGGCACCCATTCTCTCTGCAAGGCAAGCGTCTTTTCAAATGACTCATCAAACCACTTACTTCACACCCGAGCTCATCACGTCCCTCTCCGAGGGCGCGTTGTGAATAGGCCCGTACGAGAGCCCAAGAGACTCCGGCGCGACATTTAATCCACAGAGACAGAGGTCGGCACTCACGTTTCAGGGCAATGATGAGAGAGGCCATCGGCCAAGACACTTCGTTTGGGTGGCCGACCAGATAAAAGGCCTGGAGGCTGTAGATGAAGGGAACCCACACTAGGTCTCCGAACGCCAGCATGAACCCAAACCCGTCGTGGGTGATGTCCATGGTTGTCAACAGTGCTTCCTGTTAGGAAAGAGAGGGAAACGCAAATTTTAAGAACGTTTGGGGAGGGGGGCGGGGGCCGCCTGGGTGGCTCAGTCGGTTGACTCCTGATGTCGGCTCGGGTCATGATCCCAGGGTCGTGGGATCAAGCCCCGCATCAGGCTCTGTGCTGACAGTGAGGAGCCCGCCTGGGGTTCCCTCCCCCCCGCCCCTCCACTACTCGCACACTTTCTCAACAACAACAACAAAACACTTGGGGAATGAAAATTCTGTGTTCCAAGTGTTCAAACAAAGCACCGGTTCACAAACGGATGCAGGGCTCTGGGAGGGCACAGCAGCTGCAAGTTACAGAAGAGGGGAGGGGCGCCGGGGGCTCAGGTGGTTAAGCATCTGACTTTCCGCTCAGGTCACGATCTCACGGTTTGTGGGTTCGAGCCCCGTGTCAGGCTCTGCACTGACAGCTTGCTCAGAGCCTGGAGCCTGCTTCGGATTCCGTCTCCCTCTCTCTCTGCCCCTCCCCTGCTGGCACTCTCTGTCTCTCTAAAACAAATAAACATAAAAAAAAAAAGGCGGGGGGAAGAGGGGTTCTGGTTCCTGGGCCCGTGTCCCTCTCCAGGTCACTTTGCCGCCTTCATCTCCGCTCACGGTACCCTCTCATCCCACGATCTGGAAATGACACGTGTCCAAAACGCCTCTCATGCTTCCCACCTTCACCCGGGCCGTTCTCCGACCTCGGCCTCCGGCTCCCCAGTCACCCCCCAGCTGCCTCCCCCCGACCCCTCAGACGAGGCGCTTGTCGGATGCCGCGCCCGCTCACAGTGGGCGTGCCAAGTCCTCACTCTGGCAGGGACCCCAGGTCTCCAGCTCGTCACCGTCACCCCAGCACGCGGCGCACGGCTGGCGCGCTACACAGTCAGCATTTTCGGCGTTTGCTGGAGGAATGACGACACCGCCGGCTGCCCCGTATCAACCCCGCGTGCACCCGTCTCCCTTCTGATCACAACACGGGATGCCCCTGCTTCCCCCTCCGCTGATGATGCAGGAACAGGGTTTGACCCGCACACGCAAGCCGCCAGATCACCGCTGGGCCCAGACACCTGCAGGCCGGACTCCAGATCGGAGACGCCACTGAGGTCAAACTCAGAAGGCCCGGCCCGAGGGAATGTCTAACCACCTCCAACCTCAGGCCACGCGGCTGACGCAGGAAAGCAGGGAGCAAGCTCCACTGAGGGGTCCGAGGCCCAGGTGAAAGGAAAAGGTGGGAACTCCAAAGACCCCTTTCTTCCAGAAAGCAAGCAAATGGACCATGGAATAGAAAACCGAAGTCACAACCTCCGGGCCCTCAGGCCGCACTCAAGAGCACCGATCCCCGTGCACGATCCCCATGCACACAGGCTCTCAGGACCTGCCATCCGATCTCCCGGGAGCCAGCAGCCTGGTGCACAGGACAGGAGCAGGGACGAGCTGTCGGGCAGCCACTGCCTGGTCAGGCGCTCCCAGGACAGCCTTGCAGACAGAGGGAAGTCACTTCTATCTAATTACCGTCCTCCGTTCCCTCAGGTCAACCAACTAACAAGAAGGGGAGTCAGCCTCACTGCCCGGCCACAGCCAGATGCCAGCGAAAATCATCAAGTCAAGCCCCTTTGTCCACAGAGCTGGGGCACTGATGACACACAGGGAAAACCACCCCCAACTCCAGTGCTCGACCCCCAGGACCTGCGACAAACTGCCTTCACAGAAATCAACAGAAGTCACCGTTCGGCGAAATCTCCGGAACACGTGAATTTCTAGCAAGGGCCATGCTGACTCCCACCGCGTGACAGCAAGCTAGAAGAATTGCTCATCGCTGAAACGCCACCAGAAAGGAGTGTAAAGAGACATCTCTGTGACACCCAAGCAACAGTGAAGCATCACCGGGCTCCTGAGACGGAAGGTGCCGGCCCCCTGGGAGCTGCCGACTGCACCACAGCGGAGGACACCCACCTGCAAGTCCTCTGGGGGGGGACCTGGAACCTTCTGAGGCCCCAGCGGCGGGTGCCCCACGGGCCTGCAGTTCTCAGAGTGCAGAGCCAGGAGCTTCACAAAATCCGTACCCCGGCTACTCGTAGCTGAGGTTTATTTACCTTGAAAGGCCCTGACCGAACAAGAGGCAGATTACGGAAATAGCAACATGACGCTTTCCGAGTCACCCTGAGCCGACTCCGTGACCCGGTGCAGCAGCCAAGCCTCCGACTCGAGAGGTCAACACACTGTTGTGAACACTGACTCGGACGTGGTGATGTAGGGAGGCCAGTTTTGTTTTTATTAAGTTTACTTAAGGCGGGGCAGAGAAAGAGCAGGAGAGAGAATCTCAAGCAGGCTCCACGCTGTCTGCACGTATCCTGATGTGGGGCTTGAACTCACGAACTGTGAGATCACGACCTGAGCCGAAATCAAGAGGTGGATGCTTAACCGACTGAGCCACCAGGCGACCCTGATTTTGTTTTTAAAACCGGAAGAAAACTCAACTTGAAACCTGGAGGCACAGGTTACAAAGGTAACAGGAAATTGATAAAGTAAAACAGGCCTGAGGAATACATGATTTTTAAAGGGAATATATTGAAACAAAGATTAGGAAAATATAAGCCAGTCTTCAAGAACTAGGAAACACTGATCAGACTTTTTTTTTTGTTTTTAACGTTTTACATTTGAAAGACAGAAAGAGACAGAGCATGAGCAGGGGAGGGGCAGAGAGAGGGAGACACAGAATCTGAAACAGGCTCCAGGCTCTGAGCGGTCAGCACAGAGCCTGACGTGGGGCTCCAACTCACGAACCACGAGATCATGACCTGAGCGAAGCCAGACGCTCAACCGGCTGAGCCACCCAGGTGCCCCAAAAACACCAATGACGTCTCCATGTGCCAGTAAGGGCACGTGTTAGGAGCTCAGCTTTACTTACACCCGCTTCCCTGGTTATCACGACTCCTCATTTAAGATGCATCTGACGGGAGCTCTATGTTCTGAAGCACCACCACCAAAACACCTTCGCTATTTAAGAACCGGCTGCCGCCTGACAATCCAAAGAGAAAGACCCTAACTCCGTGCTGATCTATCCGTCCACGTTCGTTTGACACGGTGATTAAGAAATTAGGATTTATTTATAGGAACCAGACACACGCACAGATCTTAAATACTTCGCGCCAAGGAGCAGCTGATGCACACGCTCACCACGCCGCGTGGACGGGCGCCCCGCCTCCTCCCAGCAGCCCTCCTCACCCCGTGTCGGAGGCCGCTCGCCCACACTCAACGCCGCCAGACTCGAGGGCCTCTGCCCCTAAGATGACTTACCTCGTTCCAGAGCGCGTCCACCACATACAAGAGCTGGAAACTGTTAACCAGAGTCATCGCTAAGGACGGGGCAGCTCGGTTCTGCAGCCTCATCTCAGCCAGAAGCATCGCCAGGTTCACCACCACCTACAAGAAAAGGGGCAGGTGCGGTCTCAGGGCGCCGCCCAGATCCGTAGCAACAACGGCGACCTGCAGGGGTGACGCCAACACCAGGAACCCAGGAGCGGCACTCCGGGAAGGACCCCCGGTCGCCTCCCCGGTACTCCAGTCAGAACTACGTCACTCACTCCAGTCATGAGGACGCGATGGCCCCTGACAAAGTACGTGACCGGCGCTCTGCAAATGTCACGGTCACGAGAGGCAGGGAAAGACTCAGGAGACAAAGCTGAACCGCAACCACAGGCTCGAAGGGCCTTCGAGAGAGGGGCCCAGGACAGAAAAGGGCCAACGGTGGAGGAAGGGCGGGGGGAGGCAAAAAGAAGGCCTGGGGATTCAGCTACTATCACTGTGACAGTGGGAATCTGCCGGGTGGATACGGACACAGGGAGAGAGCGAGGTGCCAAAGGGAATCCTGACCATGTGTCTGCAACCCTCCCTCAGGTCTACGATTGGGTCAGAATGCATTTTCTTTTCTTTTTAAAGACAGGGAAAATATATTTTTTCTCACGTGAATTCACCTACACGATCACATTCCTACCTAAATATACCGATATAAGCAAAATAAAACAAACTCTCCATCTTTAATCACCTGGAACAGGGCACCTTAACCCTGTGCACTCTACTTACGGGAACAACAATACTTGAAATACAGACTCATGGAAAGCTGTAATCACTCCTAAAAAAATACCACCTCCCACTTTAAGTTGTCTAAAAATCTTTTCTAAACACAAGACTAATTTGTACTCCTGAACTGAATTTAAAAACAAAGAAGACATACCCATCCAATCAATCCAGGGCGCAATTCACAAAAGTATTTGAGGTCAAAAGTACCGATCCGAGGATTCAATTCACGGCCGATGAAGAAATCATAGATGGCATTTCCTGGAAAGGGAAAAGTTCTTACCCAAACAGTATGGCAACTGTGAGGCTTTAAAATAAGCCCTGCTGTCTACCGTCCAGGGTCCCAATTCAGCCTCTCAGGGAGCCCGGCAGGCGCCGGTGTGGGCAGGCGGGCACAGAGGTGAGGACCGAGGAGGCCGGAGGGTGCCCACCCTGGCTGGAAGCAGCTAGGCCCCTAGGGCCAGGTGCCCTGATTTTAAGGGAACTGGAGCTTTTTTTAAAACAAAGACTCACCATTTTTTTTAAATAAGCAACCTGAGTTTTTAAAATATTTGAATTACTTGAAGGTCAGAATCAACCAACGTATAATCTCTGTTATTTTGGGTCGTTTTGAGGATGTTTATGAGACCAAAAAAGAAAACT